CAACACTGACTGAAGTATACCTGGCAGCAGTACACGACTGGAAGATGGCAAGTTTAATTTCTTGTCTGTTTATTAGTGATCTTGTATTTTCAGTTGAATATGATGAGCATGGCCCACCAAGAGAGGTATGTGCATTGTTGATGCTCTCAAGTCACAGTCTGCAATAGGTTGTGCTTGTATGTGGTATACCAGTTGTTAATGTCCCTGGTTTTATCTATGCTATAGATAAACCCAGTGGATTAAAGAACTGATTTGAGCCTCTCACTCATAAAACTTCAGACTGTGACTTGCACTCAATCTTGGCTGTGATAGAATCCAAGAAACAACACCTATTGAAGTATACTTGCCAGCAGTACACGACTGGAAGATTGTAAGTTTATTTTATTGCTTGAATGTTAGTGATCTTGTATTTTCAGTTGAATATGATAAGCATGGCCCGCCAAGAAAAGTGCGTGCATTGTTGATGCTCTCAAGTAACAGTCTGCAATAGGTAGTGCGTGTACATGGTATACCAGTTGCTAATGTCCCTGGTTTTGTCTATGCTATAGACAAACCCAGTGGATTATCCACTGATGATAAGCAAGGATCTTTAATTATGAAATTCATGCTGGCCCATGGGTAAGGTGTTTTGTGTTAGGATGACGTTTCTTCCAATAGTATACTTAAAATGCGTTGATTTTTTCAGAAATATTCCTCCTTTCGACCCCAGCAGCGGCCGATCTTTTTGTTGTTGTGTTAGAAAGTACACATGGGGAAATGAGACGTAATATTTTAATAGTTCAGTAATAAAATTAATTCTTTAATGACATGAATAAAATCATGAGTAAATTATTTTAAGGGCTTGCTTTAAAGACTATATTTCAATTTCATTTATCATGTTTATATCACTTCTCATTAGATAATTGATAATTTATGATTCAGTAGAAAGAATTTACAATAGTACTCCCCAGCCATGGAGTGTGTAAGATATGAAAGGAAATCGTCATGATTTTCCGGATAATAATGACGTGGTAAAAGTGCATGGTGAATAAAAATTGAAAAGTTGTTCAACTACTAAAAATTGTTTTGAATATGCTTCAGCTGTGAAAGGCACAATGATGTTTTTTTCTACATTTTGCACCGCACCTTGCAGTATTACTTACTCTGTATAAACCATGAGCATTATCACGTGACGGGTATTGCTAAACCGCGGAACGGATAACGGAACAGAAAGCGGAAAGGAACGGAAAACGAAATATATTTTTTTAGATAAAATCACTTAAGGTAGTACAAAACACCCATGCCTAAAAAAGTGGGGGGATAATATTTGATGAACCATGGCAAGAGAAATAAAATGTAAAAACCCTTAGGATTAATATTAAAGCAAGCCTTACTGGGAAGCCTCGGATAGACACTTCTGATGTAACATTGGTTGTAAAAATTTTATATGAAATATATTTGCTTCCTATTTATTAAATAAAAATTCTAGCTAGATAATTAAAGTTGGAAAACTTTTCTGTAGTAAGGTCTGAGAAGTAGGGAAAGGTCCCCCACTCCTTTTGTAACCAAAATATACATAAGATTTAATAAATCAATATTTTGGTGTGGCTGTGGGCCCCGACCCAAACTACACTCCCCCTTGTCCAGATTTCTGGATTCGCCACTGCTTGCCTAATCTGAATGTCAAATACTGTTAATGTTGTCCTTACAGATACATGTATGTACATACTAGTAGTCTTTTTTTTCCTTCGGCTTATTTCAAGAAAGTCCTTTTTTATGAATGTTTAAAACAAAAAAAAACTGTACACGTGGCAGTTCTGAGGGTGTGCATAATTCATAAATATATTATAGTTTACAATAGTTTTTTTTTTATTAGATATGTTTTTTATTTCAAGAATTTTTGCTTTTATATCTTATTTATATCGAATCTAGGCTATTTGTTTGACATAAATTTTCCGTTTCCCGTTCCGTTCCGCGTTTTAGCAACACCCTTACGTGACAAAGATCCAAGGTATCAGAACGTGGTTTTCATCTTGAGAGGCATATATGTACATATTCATTTTCAGGTGCGGATCCAGAAATTTTTCAAGGGGGGGGGGGTGAAGGATTTTTCAAAGGGGGGTGAAAGGGAAAAAGAGTTATTATAACATACGTTGGGAACATACATATAGTTAAATAACTCAATAGGATACAGGGTGGAGTATGGTTTTTAAAAGTGGGAGGTTGATCAACCTGCGAAAAAGTACTTGTATGGATTACCAGAAAGTTTTAGAAAAAAAAGAAAGGAAAATAAATCTCCGAACCTGAAAATCCTATTTTGTAAAGGAATGGGGTTTCAATTTGTTTTCACAACCGAATTTCTTTATATATTTTAACATTAGCCTTTCACTAAACATTTTCAATAGTAAAAAAAAAAAGAAAAGACAAGATGAATTTGTGAAACACTGATGCCCCCCTATGGCAACATAGCAAGGATTAAACTTTTCTTAAATGCAAATTTGATATATTGGTACCCAAAGTAGGGTATTCTCATTGGAAATACAATTGTGAAATACAAAAGTAGGCAAAGGTTGAAGTTTTTTCATTACTACGAAAATCTCCAAGGTCAAGGTCAAAAAGTCAAGGTAATTGGTATCCAATGAAAGGTCTTGTCACAAAGAATACATATGTGAGGCATGAAAGCATTAGCCATAACCATTCCAAAGTTATGGCCATGGTTATATTTTTTTTTAAAAATAGGTCAACTTCCAAGGTCAAAGGGTCAAAGTTCTTGATATCAAATGAAAGATCTTGTCACAAGGATAAAAATATGTAAAGTATGAAAGCACTAGCATTAACACTCGAGGTTTGTTTTATAAGAGTAGGACAAACTCCAAGTTCAAAGGGTCAAAGTTCTTGGTATCCAATGAGGGGTCTTCTCACAAGGATTACATATGTAAGTATGAAAGCACATTAACGTTCAAAAGTTATGACCAAGGTTAAAGTTTTTTCATAAGTACGGAAATCTCCAAGGTCAAGGTCAAACGGTCAAAGTTGTTGGTATCCAATGAAAGGTCTTGCCACAAAAAATACATAAAGGAAGTACAAAGGTCCTGGAATCTACTGTTCTAAAGATATGGCCAAAGTAAAAGTTTGGAATTTTTGTGTGAAAAGTTCAAACTCCAAGGTCAAAAAGTCAAATTTGGTGGTACCCAAAGAAAGGTCTTGTCACAAGAAATACACATGTGAAATATAAAAGTCATAGCTCCACTAAATCAAAAGTTATAGGCAAGGTTAACGTTTTTGTGAACAAACAGACAGCTAGACAGACAGAGACAGAGAGACAGACAGACGGACGGACACGACAAAAATATATATTTACCCCCCCCCCCCGAAACTTCGTTTACGGGGACATAAAAAGGGAATTTTCTTCTTTCTCTTTCTTTTTTGCAAATCCAACGGGGGGATTGCAACCCCCGTAAACCCCCTCCCCCCTCCTCTGGATCCGCCAATGCATTTTGATTATAACAATTTCTTATCATTTATCATTGACTTTATTACATCGATGAATCCATTTGACGAGCAAATGCACTAAAATTTCTATTTATTTTCTCTGAATGGATGCTTTTAAAATTGTGAAAGTATACTTTTTGAAATGCTAAATTTTGTTTGCGGCCGATTTGATGCTTTGCATCAATTTAACTTAATTGTTGCTTCAACATAACTAAGTGGATAGATTTGTTGAGTTCTGGTGTCCCTATTCAAAATTTGAATTTCATGGCCCCTTGTATTAGGAGTTCTGTTGTTAGGATCAACCTTATTGTATGGTAAAAAGACATTGATTATTTGAAAAACTCCTCTCCTCCTGTCCTAAATGTCTAGAAGGCTAACAGAATAAAGTTGTAATGAGCAAGGATTTTTTTAAACAGAATTTTGAAAATTTGGAACCTGAGTCAAGTGTTTACTTAATATATATTTATTCACATGAAAAGAATGGACAATAGACATCCAATGCCTTTAAATACCCTCTCTAAACAATATTTTGAGTCAAGTGTTCCGGTGCTGAGCAGGGCTGAATATTTGTACTCTTCTGACAGAAGTTATTCCCCTTTGCTGTTTGCTTATAGTAACAAAAAATTACTATAAATAATCTTAAAACTAAGTCAATTGACTAAAAGAATTGTACAAGAACTTTCATACTTTTTTATACAAAAAGTACGGCCAGGTAGACATGTCTGTTTATCGTTAAATGTCCCTCTCGAGAATTTTCACTTATATGGAGAAGTCACCCCTTGCCGGTGGGGGGGGGGGGGGGGCTTCAAATTTGGACCGTGGCCATTACTGAGCATTGAGGGAATTTTTTCGTTCCAACAACTACTGCGACACGGGACCTCGGTTATATGGACCGGTCTCCACGCCCTGTAGGTGAACTTTATGGCCGTGGGGCCTATTGGATTCTCACGGAGGTGCAAGTTTTGGAATGTACGCTCCATTTAAGTACATTGTCACATTGGAATTACTAGTATATCATTTTGAAATGTGGAGCAATTTTATAAGTCGCAAGTCACTGTACATGCACGTATCCATGATTAACCAATTGATTTAGTCAAAAGTCATTGTTTAAAAACGTGTCTGAGTGTTTAATTTTGTTGTGCGTCATTCCTAAACTTTTCACATTCTACAGTTCTTATCCACTTTTGTAGCATCACAGAAGGATTGAAGATTTACCGTTCATTGAAATACAGGGTCTCGGCCCCTTCTAAACAAGACAGGTAATTAAGGAATAATTGCATGAAATAAGACGATATCCTTTAGGTAGAGGCAAGATCAAAAGTTCGTTTTCCGACAAAAGAATTAAATTTACATGCAATGTATTATTCGACTACCCCTCCCCGTTTATATAAATGCACTGATGAAAATGATTGAAATTCCATAATCAAGAACTCAGTACCTATTGTACTAGTATATTCGTTTTACTACGAGGAGTGTTATTTCATTTTTTGATTCTGAAAAAAGATACATTTCAAATACCAATAATAATGTAAAACATTTAACATTTTATTAATGTTTCTTTTTAAATAACATATTCAACATTTTCATAATACTTAATAAAATGAACACATTTTAGGAGAATCGTACTATAAATACAAGCAGCCAAGCAAATACGTTCTGTTGCCATAATTCTATGGATATATACCCAAACACATCCATAATTGTTCTCAAACAATTACAAACATACAAAAACACAGTACATGTAATTCGCAAGAAATGTCAGTTACATGTCGTACACCGTATATATCCTGTTAATGTAACTAGATGTTTGTTTCCTGTCCTTCCGTGTGCCTATGCATGTAAAACCATTGTAAATACCAACTCTCGGCAAGAAAACCGGCTTCAGATGTTGAAATACAGAGATCAGTTGCTTAAGACGAAGATCGGAGACCGAATACAAGTTCGTAAATCTGGACAACATGAATTGGTACAAATACATAGAATGTGTAGGCACTTATAGATAGGAGAGACACTAAAAATATATCTGATTAAATGTTAAGGCTTTAATTATCAATTAAATTAATTATTATTTCATTAAGTAGGATAACATAAAACAATATTTTCCGTATCAAAATAGAATGATTACAAGCAAAAAAAAAAGGGGGGCCTATAAGAATTAATCACCGAATTTAAATGTACGCTTGATGGCCCATCCCTTAATTTTTTCGTTATATCAGCGCTTCACAAATACACTGGTTTTTGTCCTTTATAGCTAGGACCCAAAATAATACAAGGTAAAAACGTATTACATCAATAAAAAGATTATCAAAAGAAAGAAAACAAAGTAATCCGTCAGGTGTAAAAGTCATCTACCTGTTGAGACGGGTTTTTACAGGTAAACTGAAATGTTCAAACTAATTGCGCATTTAAATTATTAAAGGATCATGCAAAACACGTGTCTAAAAAATATAATAAGCAATATAAATTCTGTGAAATTAAATAAAATTACCCTGAACTAAAAGTTTTATGAAGTATCCATTACTCACTGAGAGTGAAAATAACATCAGATGGGCGCGGATGTAAATCCACCCCACACAAAAACACATGATGAAAAGGATACTGAAGAGAGCTTGTTCCAGAGGTTCCAGCATATAAATACTGGTGTTGAGTGTATACTGTAGATACCAGAAATACAGAAAGCCCCTCACCGAATCCAGCACGCCCATTATCCACGATCCGCAATATTAACACTTCCCCAAATACCCTCCTAGCTGTTCTTAAAATAGCGCGTCTCGCCACCGGAACACGCTATGCCTCGTATGATCAGTGTGTAAGATAAATACACCTCCTCAGACGCGAAATAAACAATTTATTTATCCGTTGCCAAGCAAGTTGATTGACATGTGTTTGTGTGTGTACCGTTATTTGATTATTTATAAATGCGATTGTGTTTTGATATGTAATGTGTTTGTGACATTTGGATTCTTCTTATCTGAAATAAAATCAATTATAAAAGTGAAAAGATAAATTGAAATAGTTCGCGGTACCTATAGACTTTTAAAATAAATTTCGATAGAATTACGGTGTACGTGCTTCTATTAATATTTGGTTAACTCTGCAGTCTGCAGATTACTTAACACAAGTCAAAAAAAAAATCTTGCAGAAAATTCAAAATATTGATTCGAATGTACTTAACTCTGATTCCATTTGTTACCAATAATTTAAACGGTATAACGTACAGTATGACTGAAAGAATTTGGATCAACCAACCTAAAGATAACGGTATCTTTTTTTAATATTGAATGATTTTTTTGAAAAGATACGAAATTTGTTTCATAACGAAGAAAAGACAAAGGCATCAAAATAAGCCATCTAAATTATAAAATATATACATATATAAATGTAGAAATCTAACTTTTTATGCGATTTTGAATATTCTATGTATGAAGTCATGTATTTATTTTTTTTTTTTTGAATAACGTGACCAGCACAATTATTTACAAAGAAATGCGAGTTTGACGCCCAGTTTAATGGACATATAAACAGTTGCATGAGGGTTGGTGGGTAATCTTATGGGGGATCTACAGTATATAAGCAAAAATCGCTAATACATGTACCAATTTATAGGGAATCAGATCTGAGCAGTATGTTGCAAGCTTCCCATGTTTCTTATTTCCTCAGTTTCATTCTCCCTAAATTTGACTTTGATTAGGCCTATACGTGTACGTGTATTTGTTTTTACGGTTAGTGAAATTAATTAAAATTAATGATAATGTCATTAAAATAATTGTAGTTTTTATCGTAAAAAAAAATCACGAAAATTATAGGATCTTTCCACGGTGACATATGCCATCTGCCACGCCCTGTTTTCTGTGATGCCGAAGAGAAAGTCGAGAGTAGGACATATTTTTTTAAAATTAAAAAAAAATTAATGTACGATAAATACTTCAGACTCCTGTAGTATCATGGATATTTTCCATTAGATTTAGTACTTGTTTCAATACGGATGCAAAGACGTAACATTTTTCGGGGAGGGGCTAAAAAGCAAAACAAAAGTGCAAAAAAAAAAACAACTTTTTGTGGTACAAAGGGAGAGTGTTTTCTCTTTTCACCACAAAAGGGGAGTTGGGGGGCCCCAAATTCAAAATTTACAAAAAGTTAACTCAAACGTCAAAGTCATATCTTGTCACAATAAATACACATGTGAAGTATGAAAGCCGTAGTATCAATAGCTGCAGATCTATAGCGCTATGGCTTTATATATTTGTCTTTGATCATAATGCAACATATCCCGTGATGCAAAAAAAGTGCAATTTACGGTGCAATATTTTTTGCGCACTTTTGGGGAGAATTTCTCCACTTTCTAACATTGGTCAATCAACTACCTTTTACTCCCCAATCTAGACATATTCTGTAGCCAATATGTATATTTTATCCACCTCTCAACCAATTATAGTTGTCTCTACAGGCAATAAACTCACTAAGTGAATTTTCAGCAATCTAACAAATAATTTTCATCAAGCGAGTTTATCACTTGTATACAGTATAGACGACTATAAAGGGTTGGGAGATGGATAAAATATACAGATTAGTTAAATAGTGTGCCTAGAACTAGGGAGTGAAAGGTAGTTGATTGACGAATGCTAGAAAGTGGAGAAATTCTCCCCAAAAGTGCGCAAAAATATTGCACCGTAAATTGCACCTTTTGGCTTTACGGGATCTGTAGCGTTATGGTCAAAGACAAAAATAAAAAACCATAACGCTACAGATCTGCAGCTATCAACTGTTCAAAAGTTGTGGTCGACGCTGCTTGAATTATTATTTGCAAAGGGGTCAAATTCCTGTAGGTTAAGGTCAAATGTATATCCAAAGAAAGACCTTGCCACGAGATACAGTTATAGCTCTAACCAGTCAAAAGTTACACTGATGTATGGGCAAATAAAGTTTTTTTTGGGACAAACAATTAACAGACAGCTCTAGACAGACGATTAAGAGACAGCTCCAGAACTATATACCCCCGAAGCTTCGTGCTTGCACTTCGGAAGGCCTCGGGTACCAGGCTAAGAATAGAATAGGTTTTTATGCTCCCATAATCGAGAATTCGGGGGTATATAGTTCTGGAGCTGTCTCTTAATCGTGCTTGCACTTCGGAAGGCCTCGGGTACCAGGCTAATTCTATTCTATACAACTGATGAAATTCGATTTCCGGAAGAAGAAAAAACTTTCGTCACATTGAAACATTCAAGTGATTCGTGGTTAGTGATTAAAGCCTTCGGTCTTGCTTCTTACTGTCATGACTATATGACATTTTTTTCTTTTTGTGGAAAAAAACCCATTCCGGATTCTATCTGCACGGTTTTCGCATTACCATTCAAAGATTATATCCGGTGATGTGTTTCGAACAATTCTCATAATCTCATGGAAATTCTGTTTTCTTTATCTTTTCTTTTGGATATACTAATACGATAGATGATGGGAATAATTTGTTAACCATATTTGTGAAGGAAACGTGAAAATGGCAGGGAATTTTTGGCAGAGTTCGCAATAGTAAGACGGAGAGTCATGATCGATGATCCAGATTTTACGTTTTCCTATTAGAAAAATATAAACTGATAGCATTGTCTTTAAATAATTTACATATGTAAGTAGCATTAAATACTTCGTTCCTTTCAGCCAACAATGGTTGTTTGATAAACAGGATTTGATGAGGGAGAGGCAGCAGGATTTAAAAATTCTGAATTCAGAAGAGGATTACCACAAAATACTGATATTTTTTGCGAATTGTATGTATTTTCTTAAATTTTGAATTTGTAGAAATGTTAAATCGCCAAAAAGATAATTCCTTTTTTTTTTGTTATTATTGTGCTTTACAATTTCTAGTATTTTACAATTACAGTCAGTCTAGAATTAGCTGCAGATCTGTAGCGTTTTGGTTTTATATATTTGTCTTTGACCATAACGCTACAGATCCGGTAGTGCAAAAAAGGTGCAATTTACGGCGCAATATTTTTTGCGCTCTTTTGGGGAGAATTTCTCCACTTCCTAGCTTTGGTCAATCTACTACCTTTCACGTTCTAATTCTAGACACATTCTGTAGCCAATATGTATAGTTTATCCACCTCCCAACCATTTATAGTTGTCTCTACAAGCAATGAACTCGCTGGATATGAATTTTCAGTAATCTAACAAATAATTTTAATCAAGCGAGTTTATCACTTGTAGAGACGACTATAAAGGGTCGGGAGATGGATAAAATATACAGATTAATTAAATAATGTGTCTAGAATTAGAGGTTGAAAGGTAGTTGATTGAACGATGCTGGAAAGTGGAGAAATTCTCCCCAAAAGAGCGCAAAAAATATTGCGCCGTAAATTGCACCTTTTATTAAACTACCGGATATGGTCAAAGACAAATATATAAAACCAAAACGCTACAGATCTGCAGCTAGTCTAGAATTACACATGTAAAAAAACAACACTTGAATAAGGAATGTTTTCTTATTTTAGTTATACAGTCTTTAGGGGAACAGCTAAAACTTCGACAACAAGTCATAGCTACAGCCACTGTTTACTTCAAGAGATTCTATGCAAGGTAACAGCATCACTATACAGTTGTTGACTGGGTTAGAGGGAAACAGTCCATCTGTTGGACTGTAGGCCGTGGGCAACAGTTTGCACTCCAGTCTAACAGATACACTGTTTCCTGAGATTCCTGTCAACAACTGTTTTGTCATACAGTGTACTCTTTTACCGAATGAAAAGATAACTCAGTTTAGCACCATGTGACATCAGTGGGCAACAGTCTTTTTTAACAGTTTATTTTAATAGTTCCTGACGGACAGTCGGGGAAAACAGTCGAACTGTTGGACTCTTTTTAAAGTAAGAAATTACATATAGGGACTGTTTAGTAGCCCTTTTTTGTATCCCTACTAAATAAGAGGACTGATTGATCCATGTCCAACTGCTGTTCACATGGAACCCTGACAACGAAGGCTAGGGCTAGCATTAGGGTTAAGGTTAGATTGGAGTTAGGGTAAAGCTGCAAGGGTAAGGGTTAGGGCTAGATAAGAGTTAGGGTAAGGCTGCAGGGGTTAGGGCTAGGGATTAGTGAGGCTGGGAGGGTTAGGGTTATAGAGTTAAGGCTAGGGTTAGGGTTAGGATTAGGGTTAGAATAAGAGTTAGGGTAAAGCTGCAAGGGCTAGGGTCAGCATTAGAGTTAGGGTAAGAATAATAGATAGACTTAAAAGTCCCAAGATACTGCAGTGATTTTTTTTTCAAATAAATGGTGTCTGAAAATTTGTCCTTAATATTTTCTATTTCCTCTACGGATAGTTCTTAGGCTACATAAAATTGAAATTCTGGTTCTCAGGCCCGCGAGCATCCATTTTGAGGTAGCCACATTGCTAATTTTATTGTATTTTTGATAGAATAAAAAGTTGGTATTGTGGAGACCAATCCATAAAAAAAGTTCCGTCCTCATTTTTTCGTAGTTTAGTATTCGAATATCACTTCCGGTAGCCATTTTCAAAGAGATTTTGGCTACTTCGTTTGAAAATACATTTGAAGATATTGCCTATGATGTTCAAAAGCAGCAAGCTGATAAGCAATGAAAAAAGCAGAACTTTTGATCAGACATGGAAAGTATATCTGTGATTAAAAAAAATTATCTTTATGTTAAAGAAAATTCGAAAATTAAAATTAAAAAAATACCTCCCTTATCTACTTTATTGCCAGTAAAATGATAAATAAAATGCCTCCCTCTCGCATCTGTTTTGGAGAAAATTTGCCTGAGAACCAGAGAATTAAATTTAGATAGCCTATTATTGCTCTCTTATGTGAATAAGCTCTCTTATGTGAATAAGTCAGAAAATGTACAAATCCCACGGGATTTCGTGGACAAACATAACATAAACATGTAAACAGTATGTTCAATATCCATGGACAAAGCCTAACAAAAAACAAATGACCAAACACCCCTCTAATTTGAAGAGTTCCAGTAATGGAAATCAAAGGTATTGTAGTCTAGATATTATTTTTGACTTTCTAGAAATTCTCTCAAATGCATTGATCCCTGGTTGATGGCTCCAACCTGTGTGTTTCTAGCATCAAAAGTGGAGGTAAGAATTCTTTTCAAAATAATATGAAATAGAATAGTGGTGAGTATTCCTGTTATGTAGTGAATTACTATAATATCAATAGATGATACATGTACAAATGCTACACTACTACATATACCCAAGAATTTCATGATGCAGTTTACTGTAAATTTCATTTACTGTAAATAGCTTTTTATTCGCGAGAACTTTATTTTCGCGTAATTAGGCGAGACAGTGTGCTCATGCAAATTTAATTCTCACGTATAATAGTATTTCTTAGGAATATATAGAGCAATAAAACAATTTGTGAAAATTTTTGTCTTGCTTATTAAGAGTCAATGACAATCTCACGAAAATAAGGTGTCATGAAAAATTAAAGTCATATACGCTATATGAACGCCGAATTTAGGTTGAAACAAAATGATCAACGATATAAAACACATGAAGTATAATAAAAAATAATACTTTCCACAAAATTGTACTATAGATGTCGTTGTAATAACAAAACAATTAAACAATATCTAGGAATTAAGAATTCAGTCTTTTCATGAATATTGATAAAGGAAGTGCGTAAACAGTAGGCCTATATATAGAAACACATGTCCACAGGAAATCACAGACAACGAGGTATGTTGCATTTTGACAACAATTATTAATGTAAGGTTAATATGCATCATAACAGAGAAGATTTTGATACTTAAATACATTAAAAGGTAAAGTACCTTATGTATCCACGTCAAAAGTGAGTAGTATCTCAAACGGTCTACCTTGTTTTCTTTACGCCACGTGTGTTTATCAATCTAAAAGTAGCGACGGCGTCACGTGATGGATTTATTTAAAAATAGCTGTTTTTCTTTCCTTGCAGGATAATAAATAATTATAATTTGATAACTTTGTAACCCGTTTAATTTTAATGGTGTAATTTACAGTATTTTCGCAACTTTTCTTGATAAACAAATTGTATCAATTTCCAATCCTATTTTAACTGGCGCAAGTTATAGCGTGTATACTTTTAAGTGTTCTACAGTATTCTTCAATTGTATACAAATTTCTTTGTTAAAACAATGAAAAAAAAATTATGAATACATTTGTTGAAAGAGTAATGTCATTTTCACCGAAATTTCTATTTCCAGGAATTTGGTGTTATATCCAACAGTCGCCTAATGACAACTTGCCAGACAGTGGGTAAGGAATTAATTACCAATGATTTATTTCTGATTTTCTTTAGGGCTGGGACGATATATCGAGATATCGATATATCGTGATACATGTTAAGACGATACGCATATCGATACATATGAAGAAATATTGGAATATCGCCCCAAAAAATCTTACTTCTGTTTTTCTTTGTTTATTTAACATCTGGGATTTAATATATAAAATAAATAAGCTAAATATAAATATAGATATGAAATAAATAATAATTAACACCACTTGAGTAAAATATTTTCGTTTTACAATATATAAACAATTATTTTGAATAAATTATTCTTATTTGCAAAAAAATAATTTGTTTATTTCAATGCAAAAAAAGAATTTATCAGCAATCAAACATATCATGATACATATCGTATCGTGGCTCAAATATCGTGATATGTATCGATATAGAAAAAGTTGTATCGTCCCAGCCCTAATTTTCTTATTGTTCAGTACATTTACAAGTAACTGAATAAGGGAGTTTTTCAAGAAATAGGGGTTGGTATTGCCCCAAATTTAATACCTGTATTCTCATTGTTGTTTTAGTGAAGAACAAATTTTCCCATGCCTATCCTCAGGAGTATCCATACAGAATTAACAGTGTGTTGGAATGTGAATTCTTCCTGCTCGAAATGATGGTAAAAATGAATTTTTGTTAATTTTGATTGCTGTACAATTTTTCTTATTTTGTTTAGCAAAGACTTTAAGATTCGGTTTGTGGTGAGAAATATTCGCAATGACGAGGCTCTTGCGAACCTCACGAAAGTTGCTCACACACGAATATAACTTGGTTTACAGTATCTGTTTTAAGGACAGATGATACAAACAAAAAATGGATGCCTGGATTGGTATATATTTTTTGGCCTAATTTCATTGCAAATGATGCAAATAATAAATTTCTAGAATATAAAGAAATTGTAAACCTTCTGTGATGTTCAAAAGTCTGCCCTTCTGAAACCATCTTTATTAATCTATACAAATATTTATCACTTCAAATTCCATTTCTGTGAAAATTTGAATAAAAAATTTAAAAATATGCAGTGAAAGTTATTCACTTTACTCATTTAAACATAACCTAAGTTATTATTTTCAAATTTTTTGACAAAAGTTTGTATCATCTATCCTTAAACATGTTAAATGCCCATAAAGTAGGTTTATTGTAAGTGAGGTAGCATATTATGATGTTTGTTATTTAGGATTGCTGCCTGCATGGTGCTGAATCATCCCTACAGACCTCTAACTGAGTATTTCAGAGTGTATTATGATGTTTGTTATTTAGGATTGCTGTCTGGTGCTGTATCATCCCTACACAACTCTGTCTGAGTATTTCAGAGTGTATTATGTTTCTTGTTATTTAGGATTGCTGCCTGGTGCTGTATCATTCCTGCAGACCTCTAACTGAGTATTTCAGAGTGTATTATGATGCTTGTTATTTAGGATTGCTGTCTGGTGCTGTATCATCCCTACAGACCTCTAACTGAGTATTTCAGAGTGTATTATGTTTCTTGTTATTTAGGATTGCCGCCTGGTGCTGTATCATCCCTACAGACCTCTAACTGAGTATTTCAGAGTGTATTATGATGCTTGTTATTTAGGATTGCTGCCTGGTGCTGTATCATCTCTACAGACCTCTAACTGAGTATTTCAGAGTGTATTATGATGCTTGTTATTTAGGATTGCTGCCTGGTGCTGTATCATCCCTACAAACCTCTGAGTATTTCAGAGTGTATTATGATGCTTGTTATTTAGGATTGCTGCCTGGTGCTGTATCATCCCTACAGACCTCTAACTGAGTATTTCAGAGTGTATTATGATGCTCGTTATTTAGGATTGCTGCCTGGTGCTGTATCATCCCTACAGACCTCTAACTGAGTATTTCAGAGTGTATTATGATGCTTGTTATTTAGGATTGCTGCCTGGTTGGGTATTTCAGAGTGTATTATGTTTCTTGTTATTTAGGATTGCTGCCTGGTGCTGTATCATCCCTACAGACCTCTAACTGAGTATTTCAGAGTGTATTATGATGCTTGTTATTTAGGATTGCTGCCTGGTGCTGTATCATCCCTACAGACCTCTAACTGAGTATTTCAGAGTGTATTATGATGCTTGTTATTTAGGATTGCTGCCTGGTGCTGTATCATCCCTACAGACCTCTAACTGAGTATTTCAGAGTGTATTATGATGCTTGTTATTTAGGATTGCTGCCTGGTGCTGTATCATCCCTACAGACCTCTAACTGAGTATTTCAAAGAATTATCACATGAAGATTCACTCTACCCCCTGGCTTGGTAAGAACTGTTTTTTTTTACTATACAATGTCTTAAAGACTTATGTGGTCCCTTCTTTTATTATCCAAATGCAACAGAGTTGGAGGGGATATAATAATGCCCTTGTTCTGATTGGAATAGGAAGAAATTGTTTGATGTCCAAACAAATTTCCATCAAATACATGTTTTGATGCTTTTTTGTATAATATATTTTTTTTACTTTCTTGCTTCAATATTTGGAACTAATTATCTTAATTTTTTAATGAAAATATCATATGGCACTTAGAAAAATGTTAAATTGTTGACACACTGTATAAGCAGAAATTTTAGCGAGGATTTAATTTTGGTATTATTAGTAAGGGTGTCAAGATTGCTAATATTGAGTATCGCTAAAAATTTTCTGTGTTCTATTTGTAATAGTGTCTTTAGTGACCTTTTAAAAATCGCTAAAATTACATCTTGCTAAAAAATAAAATGCCAATTTTAAGGACAAATTGCTAAATTTGCTAAAATTTCCACTTATACGGTATTGAAATGAAATTGTTAAAAGCTGTTCTTATGACATCTTGCCTTTCACCTTCAGGAGGATCATAAATGACAGTCTGAGGACAGATGTATGTCTCCTATACCCACCATATCTCATCGCTTTAGGTATGTACCCAAAAGATCTCATAGCCTTGGGTATGTTCCCACCATATCTCATAGCCTTAGGCATGTACCCACCATATCTCATAGCCTTAGGTACTGTGGTTTCATCATTATTCGTGGAACACCAGTTTTAGTGGATTTCATTGTTAAATCGATCCATGAAATCAAATGTTCATGGAAGTTTGGTGCCTCAATTTTGATAAATCTTTAAAAAGCCCATTCCAACTTTCATTATTACATGTATATATTAAATATCACCTCTTTCTTAATAGATTGACTTTAAAGACCTATTATATCATTTTAAGAATATTAAAAAAAAGAGGAATTAGGAATTACAATTTAAGTGTCCAATCCCAATTATCACCTGTACAGTAAAAACAACAAATTATTGTTAAATGAAAATTCTGATAAAGACAATTACTCTCTGCCGTTAAAAACATGCTAAATTAATTTAATTTAATAATATAAAAAAATAATAAATTAAAGCGTTTTCTCCTGTTAGTAATTTTCATTAAAAAAAATCTACCTACCCTATCATTGTAAATGGCATGATGTTCCAGCTAAAGTATACGACGAAAGAAAATATGAAAAGATGATAGACATTTTTTTTCTGTTCGGACTATTATCCATGAATTAACGTTTCCTCGAAACTGTGAATTTTACTAAATCCACGAAAATTCATGCCCACGAATATTAATGAAACCACAGTATGTACCCCCCATATCTCATAGCTTTAGGTATGTACCCATCCTATCTCATAGCTTTAGGTATGTACCCACCATATCCCATTGCTTTAGGTATTTACCCACCATATCTCATAGCTGTAGGTATATCCATGTTTCCCACTATCGTTGATGCCCTGGCATACTATACTAACTAGACATTGATTCTGTTTATTTCCATTTCATTGTGAAATAAAATTGTAAATTAAGATGTTAAAAATGTAGACATAGATTTAAATTACATGAGAACTCCCATGCCAATTTCAATAGTCCTTGCCCACTGACGTCAAACACAAAGGCAACCGCACGAGACTTACATGCATATTTGGCCTCCTTAGCATCGGAGACGGAGACAGATGCGCATGAGATTTGCATGCATTTTAGGCCTCCTTATATCCTGGCCTAGCGACCTGCCTAATTTACATTCCGGTAGAATTATCAAGAAATCAACTCAAATCAAATCAATTCAAAGAGATATCACAGAAGAAAAAAATTATAGCTTTAGGTATATACCCACTGTATTTTATTGCTTAAGGTATGTACCCACCTTATCTCATTGCTTTTAATATGAACCCACCTTATCTCATTTTTTCAGATATGTACCCACCCTTTGAAAGAAGAATATGAATGGTGCCTTTTTTGGAGGGTTACATTTGTAATTAACACCCCTCACGATCGGAAAACCATTGTCACCCGACACATCAGCAAAGATTGACAATGTTTTTCTGAGGGGTGTCAATTTCAGCTGTTACCATCCAGATTTTAGTATTTTACATAAAAGTTTAATAATATGTATTTACTGTCTTTTTATAGCTTGTCTCCACTTGTTTATCTGTCTTATTGAGTTTGAGATAACGAGGTTTGACTGATTTATTTTACAGCTTGTCTCCACATTGCTAGTGTCATACAACAGAAGGATCTCAAACAGTGGCTGGCCGAGTGCAGCGTCGACATGGATAAGGTAGTACAGTAAAATACAGATAGAGAGAAAACACTTATAATGAATTCACTATTATAGTGATTGGTAGACATGGATAAGGTAATACAGTACAACACAGTTATAGCTAACACACTTATAATGAATTCACTCTTATAGTGATTGGTAGACATGGATAAGGTAGTACAGTACAACACAGTTATAGCTAACACACTTATAATGAATTCACTCTTACAGTGATTGGTAGACATGGATAAGGTAGTACAGTACAACACAGTTATAGCTAACACACTTATAATGAATTCACTCTTACAGTGATTGGTAGACATGGATAAGGTAGTACAGTACAACACAGTTATAGCTAACACACTTATAATGAATTCACTCTTACAGTGATTGGTAGACATGGATAAGGTAGTACAGTACAACACAGTTATAGCTAACACATGTATAATGAATTCACTCTTACAGTGATTGGTAGACATGGATAAGGTAGTACAGTACAACACAGTTATAGCTAACACACTTATAATGAATTCACTCTTACAGTGATTGGTAGACATGGATAAGGTAGTACAGTACAACACAGTTATAGCTAACACACTTATAATGAATTCACTCTTACAGTGATTGGTAGACATGGATAAGGTAGTACAGTACAACACAGTTATAGCTAACACACTTACAATGGATTCACTCTTACAGTGATTGGTAGACATGGATAAGGTAGTACAGTACAACACAGTTATAGCTAACACACTTATAATGAATTCACTCTTACAGTGATTGGTAGACATGGATAAGGTAGTACAGTACAACACAGTTATAGCTAACACACTTACAATGGATTCACTCTTACAGTGATTGGTAGACATGGATAAGTTAGTACAGTACAACACAGTTATAGCTAACACACTTACAATGGATTCACTCTTACAGTGATTGGTAGACATGGATAAGGTAGTACAGTACAACACAGTTATAGCTAACACACTTATAATGAATTCACTCTTACAGTGATTGGTAGACATGGATAAGGTAGTACAGTACAACACAGTTATAGCTAACACACTTATAATGAATTCACTCTTATAGTGATTGGTAGACATGGATAAGGTAGTACAGTACAACACAGTTATAGCTAACACACTTATAATGAATTCACTCTTACAGTGATTGGTAGACATGGATAAGGTAGTACAGTACAACACAGTTATAGCTAACACACTTATAATGAATTCACTCTTACAGTGATTGGTAGACATGGATAAGGTAGTACAGTACAACACAGTTATAGCTAACACACTTATAATGAATTCACTCTTACAGTGATTGGTAGACATGGATAAGGTAGTACAGTACAACACAGTTATAGCTAACACACTTATAATGAATTCACTCTTACAGTGATTGGTAGACATGGATAAGGTAGTACAGTACAACACAGTTATAGCTAACACATGTATAATGAATTCACTCTTATAGTGATTGGTAGACATGGATAAGGTAGTACAGTACAACACGGTTATAGCTAACACACTTATAATGAATTCACTCTTACAGTGATTGGTAGACATGGATAAGGTAGTACAGTACAACATGGTTATAGCTAACACACTTATAATGAATTCACTCTTATAGTGATTGGTAGACATGGATAAGGTAGTACAGTACAACACGGTTATAGCTAACACACTTATAATGAATTCACTCTTATAGTGATTGGTAGACATGGATAAGGTAGTACAGTACAACACAGTTATAGCTAACACACTTATAATGAATTCACTCTTACAGTGATGGTAGACATGGATAAGGTAGTACAGTACAACACAGTTATAGCTAACACATGTATAATGAATTCACTCTTACAGTGATTGGTAGACATGGATAAGGTAGTACAGTACAACACAGTTATAGCTAACACACTTATAATGAATTCACTCTTACAGTGATTGGTAGACATGGATAAGGTAGTACAGTACAACACAGTTATAGCTAACACACTTACAATGGATTCACTCTTACAGTGATTGGTAGACATGGATAAGGTAGTACAGTACAACACGGTTATAGCTAACACACTTATAATGAATTCACTCTTACAGTGATTGGTAGACATGGATAAGGTAGTACAGTACAACACGGTTATAGCTAACACACTTATAATGAATTCACTCTTACAGTGATTGGTAGACATGGATAAGGTAGTACAGTACAACACAGTTATAGCTAACACACTTATAATGAATTCACTCTTACAGTGATTGGTAGACATGGATAAGGTAGTACAGTACAACACAGTTATAGCTAACACACTTACAATGGATTCACTCTTACAGTGATTGGTAGACATGGATAAGGTAGTACAGTACAACACAGTTATAGCTAACACATGTATAATGAATTCACTCTTACAGTGATTGGTAGACATGGATAAGGTAGTACAGTACAACACAGTTATAGCTAACACACTTATAATGAATTCACTCTTATAGTGATTGGTAGACATGGATAAGGTAGTACAGTACAACACAGTTATAGCTAACACACTTATAATGAATTCACTCTTACAGTGATTGGTAGACATGGATAAGGTAGTACAGTACAACACAGTTATAGCTAACACACTTATAATGAATTCACTCTTATAGTGATTGGTAGACATGGATAAGGTAGTACAGTACAACACAGTTATAGCTAACACACTTACAATGGATTCACTCTTATAGTGATTGGTAGACATGGATAAGGTAGTACAGTACAACACAGTTATAGCTAACACACTTATAATGAATTCACTCTTACAGTGATTGGTAGACATGGATAAGGTAGTACAGTACAACACAGTTATAGCTAACACACTTATAATGAATTCACTCTTATAGTGATTGGTAGACATGGATAAGGTAGTACAGTACAACACAGTTATAGCTAACACACTTATAATGAATTCACTCTTACAGTGATTGGTAGACATGGATAAGGTAGTACAGTACAACACAGTTATAGCTAACACACTTATAATGAATTCACTCTTACAGTGATTGGTAGACATGGATAAGGTAGTACAGTACAACACTGTTATAGCTAACACACTTATAATGAATTCACTCTTACAGTGATTGGTAGACATGGATAAGGTAGTACAGTACAACACAGTTATAGCTAACACATGTATAATGAATTCACTCTTACAGTGATTGGTAGACATGGATAAGGTAGTACAGTACAACACAGTTATAGCCAACACACTTATAATGAATTCACTCTTACAGTGATTGGTAGACATGGATAAGGTAGTACAGTACAACACTGTTATATCTAACACACTTATAATGAATTCACTCTTACAGTGATTGGTAGACATGGATAAGGTAGTACAGTACAAAACAGTTATAGCTAACACACTTATAATGAATTCACTCTTACAGTGATTGGTAGACATGGATAAGGTAGTACAGTACAACATGGTTATAGCTAACACACTTATAATGAATTCACTCTTACAGTGATTGGTAGACATGGATAAGGTAGTACAGTACAACACGGTTATAGCTAACACACTTATAATGAATTCACTCTTACAGTGATTGGTAGACATGGATAAGGTAGTACAGTACGATACAGTTATATCTAACACACTTATAATGAATTCACTCTTACAGTGATTGGTAGACATGGATAAGGTAGTACAGTACAAAACAGTTATAGCTAACACACTTATAATGAATTCACTCTTACAGTGATTGGTAGACATGGATAAGGTAGTACAGTACGATACAGTTATATCTAACACACTTATAATGAATTCACTCTTACAGTGATTGGTAGACATGGATAAGGTAGTACAGTATGATACAGTTATAGCTAACACATGTATAATGAATTCACTCTTACAGTGATTGGTAGACATGGATAAGGTAGTACAGTACAACACAGTTATATCTAACACACTTATAATGAATTCACTCTTACAGTGATTGGTAGACATGGATAAGGTAGTACAGTACAACACAGTTATATCTAACACACTTATAATGAATTCACTCTTACAGTGATTGGTAGACATGGATAAGGTAGTACAGTACGATACAGTTATATCTAACACACTTATAATGAATTCACTCTTACAGTGATTGGTAGACATGGATAAGGTAGTACAGTACAACACGGTTATATCTAACAAACTTATAATGAATTCACTCTTACAGTGATTGGTAGACATGGATAAGGTTGTACAGTATTACAGGGTTATAGCTAAGATCATCTTTAAAAAAATTGTTTTGTTGCCCTCTCCCGACCAACCAAAATTGGCTCTACTCAAATTTTTTTTTTATATTCCAGGACTTTCCAGAATATTTTTTTTATTCCTCTTATTCCTTCAACAAATATGTTCAAATTTCCGAGTGAAAGATTTTCCCACCTACCTGCTGACCTAATAATTTTTCCCTGAGTAGGGAGAGGGCACGCAAACATTACTTTAAAGATAACCTTACACACTTATAATGAATTTACTTGTACGGTGAAGTGATTTTGAAACATACCGTGAAGTTACTGCAATGAAGATATTAAAGTTTTAACGTAAAAAATGTGGGTGGGACTAACTCACTGCAGCATATACATATACCCATGATAATCAATATAAGTGTTCTAGATGCTGAACCTCACTGTATTTTATGGCTTTCCGATGTCTTGTGTCTTTTTAGATTTTAGAGATATCAAGGCAAATTTTGGCATTGTATGAATTATGGAAGAACTATGATGAGAAAAAGGAAATAGCAGGGATCCTGGAAAAAATGCCCAAGTCAAGAACTACGTATGTATTCAATATTGTCAATCAATTATCTAATCAAATGCAAGAATTTTTTTCATCTTCACTAGCCAAGGGTTTCTGATATGCTAATATCCTCATAAACCCTTGGCATACGGTGCTGTGAAAGATGGGATTGTTTTCATCACGTGATCTCGAATTTTGAACCTCTACGTGCAGATTGTGTCATCGATAGAAACAACAGCAGTTACAAGCTTAAAAATCAAAAATATTCCAGTTAAGTAAAAATCCTGAACATTAATTTGAAGATGACACTTCTTATATTTAAAAAAAAAATTGTGTGGAAGAAAATGTAGAATAGACCCAGGTGAGCATTGTGGCTCATGAAGCCTCCGGTTTTGGGGTTGAATTTATTTTCATTTGATGTTATGTACCCAGACACATTTACATTTTTATATTTTCAATCAGGGGATAAACAGTTTTTGAATTCATTTTGGGTTTACATTGCAGCCCGGCTTCACCTCAAGAAGTTACTGCCCAGCAACAGAATAATCAACAGAATGTGGTGTAAGAAAATTCTTATGATAATGGACAATTCTTATGAAAGAGTGTCTAATAATGTACAAGATGTTGTGTAAAAACATTTACTGAAAAATTATACAAAAAGGAGTAAAAAACTTTCCAGTACCAGTGCATCCAGTTAATGGATATTAAACTTTGAAATTTTATAGAGAAGAAACAAAATAGGAAGTGAAAACTGGAAGTTGCCTAGCAACATTTAAAAAAAGGATGTACTTTAAATGTACAGTAACTTTCTCTAAAGGTGCTTCACAAGGATTTTGTAACTTTATATTACCAACTGATTTGTTGTAAACAATATGAAAACATTAAATCACAAAAAAAAAACTTTGAATATGTGTAATGAGTTTTGAGAACTGAGAGTTTATTGATCAAATTGATATTGTTGTACCAATGCATATTTTTAGCTTATATGTAAAAATTACAAGGAATAGCAAAGACCAGAATTACTAGCCTTCTTTGGAATTTGTTGAAAATATGCCTTTTTTTTAAAAAAAAAAAAGATTCTTTGTGACTGCACATCCTCTGATTGAAATTAATTATATTTAGTGTATTGAAGTAGTTCTATATACATGTACATTTTTTGTATGTGTTAAGTTGAATATTTTTAGCAAAAAATGCCAGGGAAATAGTTTTTTTTTCTTCAAAAAATTTATGAGTTTAATTTGTCCATTCTTTGAAAAACAAAAATGAATGTGATTTTGAAGTAATAATATTGGTCTATTAATGCAAAGGCATCAGTACAGGGGACTTGGATTACCCCTCCCCCCCCCCATTTTTTTTAGACATGATATAGGCATAATGCATTGAGAATTGGGGCTATGCCCACAAACTGTTTTGGAGTTGGTTTAACACCTCCCCCCTCGGTTTCTCTCTCTTTCAATTTGTTTCTGACGTCAATGTACAAATGTAATGAAATGTCTCCGATATTACAGATTTACAATATAACCTTAAAAGTCAAATATTTCCATTTCTAATTTTTTTCTCTGAGATAACTCTTTGAAAGTTAGGGGTAGTTTATTTCTTGATAATTCTGCCGGAATGTAAATTAGGCAGGTCGATAGGTCGGGAGCTAAGGAGGCCTAATACGCATGCAATTTTCGTGCGCATCTGTCTCTGTGTCTGACGCTAAGGAGGCCAAATATGCATGTAAATCTCGTGCGGCTGCCTTTGTGTTTGACGTCGGTTGGCGAGGACTATTGAAATTGGCATGGAAGTCATCATGTGATTTAAATCTATTTATCTACATTTTTAAAGTCTAAATCTACAATTTTATTTCACAATGAAATGGAATTCGCCTGTTATGCAAATTATCCCATGTTTCCCACTAATGTTGATGCCCTGACATACCCTCCTAACTAGACAGTGATTCCTTAATTAAAGATAGGTGTAAGTAATTACACATATCTCCAGATAATTGTGTCTATCTTCAATAGGTTAATTTTGCGTTCCATATTTTCCGAGGAGCGGTGCGCATGAGACCTCAAATCGTTAGCACTTATTAGGCGAATACTTGAAACGAATTTTTAAACAGCACTTGACCTAAGGTTTATGAGTACCAAAGGGCATAGCCTCTTACAAGCCACTGTTGTCAATTTATGGATATTAGGATCATCGACTTGTTGTAATTTTATGTTAATCCATTTGAACTTTCCTAATTTGAATAATATCTAACTTTAAAAGCAAGCATTTGAGTTTTGTTTCAGGCCATTTTAGAAAAAAAATGAAATAAACAAAAGTTCACCTTATCAAAAGCAAAAGAATCTTAAAGATTATTTGCAAGGTCAAATCGTTGGATTCATTTAGTTTCCTATTGCGAATTGTTGCTTTCACGAAATTTGTTGATTTAAATATTATAATTTGTGTCTAAAGTATGTTTTGTTTATTTTTATTTTCATATTAACTCGATGTTATCATTACCAACTGAATGTTTTCAAGTACCGATTCGTATCTACGAAGTTCAAACATGGTGATACGCCGGAAAATGGCCAGAAAGTTATGCAGCATTTGTTATGCCATTATACTTAGAGAAAAAGAGTACAGCGTACATAAACAGATACCCCGGGAGATTTGGTCAAGGGCTTTAAATTTCTTTCAGAAACTCAGAAAACTTCTATAGTTTTCACGCTAGTTTTTTTTTACTTCCTTTGTAACGATATTTAACCTGGATCCGCTCACAAAGGAAAACCTGGATCCGCTCACAAAGGAAAACCTGGATCCGCTCACAAAGGAAAACCAAATCGATTGTTTTGTATATGTTGCATAATGGTATTATAGTCATCGCCGTTTCCTTGCGATAAATTATTGATTATACACAGAAACAGACTGCATGATGTGAATGATGAAGAAGCAAGGGTGGATCCATGAATGAGTGTACGTAGCATGTTAGGCTAATCTAAAAAGGCGTACTTATTCCTTTCAATGGACATTCGAAATTATTTTATTTCATGAACATAATTGGTCTCATTCATTTTGCTCAATTTTTGATGGTTTACATACAAGATGATCTAAATACTCCGTAGTGTCCTCGATGCATGGTGATTTCAATTGTCACGTGATTGGTCGATATATCAGACTTTGTCCGCGCACTCAGAAACAGCTGGCGGTAGTGCCAATTGCGCGTGTGCGCTGAAATAAAAATAGATTTTATAAACAAACAAACCGTGCAACCCTCTTTGTCTTAGTATAAACCCCACGTATACTTCGTAATAACTTGAAATATTCTGTTTAACTGTGTAGACCAGATTAATTGTTATCGCTGGCCTTGGCCGATCTGTCATTGACTTGAGTAATCTTGGCACCACGAAGGTTTACCCCAGCCAGGTTTTTTTTCCCTCAGTGACATTGAGAATGGAAACAGTAGAGGATTTCCCCCGGGACACAGGATGGTCCTGGGTCGTTCTTGTGGGTAAGTAGGGTTTTTAGGAAATGGGATGGTGGACAGGAGGGGGGTCTTAGAGATCAATATGTACTTTTTGTGTAGTATTCTGCATATGTAGTGGTCCCCCTAAAACTATTGTTACAACCAGAATGACACACTTAGAAGTTGAACTCGGATACATGACATGTGCATGTAAAATATATCAGATTTGTTATTAAGTATTACTTGCATGTGGTTTGTTAATAGTACGGTTGGTACAAAGTAAAGGAACTTGAACTTCATTAATTATCCATTTGCATTTTAAAAGAAATTCTTTTAATAATACCAAAATATATATCCACGACATAGCCCGAAATAAGTGAATGCATAGTAATCTTAGAAGTCAAAGATCAAAATTAGTCTCATGAGTAGTTTGGTGTCCGGTGTTGTCTGTCTGTCTGTCTGTCTGTCTAGGAGAACTTAGTTTAATTTCACAAAAAGGCATAGACCCTCTAATTACAAATCACATGCACAAGAAGAAAGTAAAATTGAAGAAATATTATATCTCATTTAATGCAAATATTACATTACATGCATGGGTTTGTAATGGACAACTGAAATTAAGAGTAATGTTTTGTCCCCTCACCACCCCCCCCCCCACCCCCCCCCCCCCAAAAAAAAGGGGGGATTATAATTGAATGTCCCATTAGGATCTCACTTTGTATATAAATACCAAAATAAATCATTTTGACAAATTTTAGTACATGTCATTCATAAAACCACAGAAGTAAACATACTAAAATAAGTAGATCAAAGCTAATTCTCATTTCTTTCTTAATGTGAAGGTAGATAGATTACATAAAAAAGTCACTTAAATGCAACAAAACGTACTTCCCGTACGTACTGCACAGTATATACATGTACTTGCCTTGGTAGTTTACTTATGTTGGTATTAATTTACCCATGTGATTACATTTTTTAGCCTCAATGACCGCGTGCTTCCTGGAAATGGGTACCTACAAATGTTTTGGGATTTACATGAATGCTTACCTGGAAGAATTCAACACGTCAGTGACTATTGTGTCATTAATCTCAGGAATTTTCTCAATTTCATTTTGCATAGCAGGTAAAAAAAAAATTAGAGAAATAATGGTTCTGTCAGGCAGAATATATAACTAATAGTATATTTAACTCAAAGACAACACTGTAAGCACTGTGTTGGTACTTTGGAGTTGTTATATAAAATTAATTTCTTGACCATTTTCTATAAATACATGTATTTCTTTACTTTTTAAACAGGTAATTTTTTATCTATACAGTGTATCTACCATAGGTACTCTCCATCTTATTTGTAAAAAAAAAATATACATCTAATATACTATAAACATAACGTTATATATATATTTATAGTATAACAGATGTATATTCTTTTTTAACAATTAAGATGGGGAATGCCGGCCTGTAGTATCTACCAATACTATTGATGTATTCAGGACATGTGCCACCAAAAATTAATAGATTGCATTGAATGCATGAATTTTTCATGATTTCTTTTTCAAAAGTTGCATTATCCGTCCTTAAATAATTTATATTTCTATTGGCCTTCATTGAAATTTTATTTGATTTCCGACAGAAATATTGCATAACTCTTCTTTGTTAATCCACAGGAGTCGCCACACCTATCAAATTTAACGATATTTTCAACAAATATTAGAAATAAACACAAAACGTTTTAAGGTATTACGCATTTCATGTTTACTGAAAAAAAATATCGTTAAAATTAATGAATACGCTGACTCCCGTGGTTTTTGGGTACCTGTAAAGTGCGAAACGAAATAGAAACGAAACGAAACGAAACGAACTGAAACGAAACGAAATCTGCCGAAACGAAACGAAATCAACCGAAACGAAACGAAACTTACCGAAACGAAACGAAATCACTACGAAACGAAACGAAATCAAAACGAAACCTGCCGAAACGAAACGAAACAAAACTTTATATTTTTTTACTATATGAAATTTATATAGTTCAAGCTTGTTTCATTGATATATATATATATATATATATATATATATATATATATATATATATATATATATATATATATATATATATATATATATATATAGTCGCCACACCTATCAAATTTAGCCTTTTGACACCACCCCCCCCCCACTTCTGACGCCTATGTCATATTTTATTAAGTATCTTAAATAATTTAGACAATTTTTTTGTCAGTTAACACAAAACGAAAATTATTTAAAAATAACCGAATGTACATTACGATTCCGGTATAGTTACATGTTTCCAGACACCTCGGAATGGAAAAATATCGCTGATTTATCCTATGTTTTAAAATACAACAGTAACTTTATTTCGACACATAAACGTTTTACATGTAACACATCAATAATTTGATAGATATGTTGTATCTAGATAAATAAGGACTGAAAATAAGAGTAAGATATAAAAAAAAAATTAGAAATACTGCACATATTGAAATTACACGTGCATAGTACGCTCGTGTATATTTGCAGCTGGCAAACATATAAAAACTTCATTAGACATTTAAAATTTTATATTAACAAGTTTTTTATTTGAAGTAAAAAACGTCCACATGCAGTTACACATATATGATTATAGGCATGTACTAGTACCTTAATTTGAAAAAAATAAATTGATAGTTCTGTTTCGTTTCGTTTCGGCAGGTTTCGTATTTTATTTCGTTTCGTTTCGGTAGGTTTCGTCTCGGTAAAGTTCATTTCGTTTCGTTTCTATTTCGTTTCGCATTTTACAGGTACCCGTGGTTTTTCATGAATTTTGATTTACAGTTCTACCTGTGGTTTGTCATGCTATTTTACAGTTCTACCGGTGACGGTGTTCGGAACTGAACGATTCAGCTGTCGGACAATGGTCATTTATGGAGGATTCGTTCTATTTGTCGGGTATATCTTGAGCAGTATTGCCCCTAGTATTGAACTCGTGATGCTGGCACAAGGGGTTTTAGCAGGTGATAAAAAAATCAAAACTTCTAGAGAACAATCAAGTCTAATTAAAAGTTTAATATCCATTAAACTAAAAAAAAAAATGAATCACAGAATTAAATATTATACATTTATTGACTGCATTCTAGGGCAAAATGCGTTTTGTCGGATCCAAGAACGGCCTCGGGCAGACATTGGTTCGAGGGTCAACAAAACACATGTTGCCCTAGAACATAGTCAATAAATGTTTTGTTATACTTTCATTATAATATTTTTGACATACATGTATTTTGTACTGTCTTCCTTGATGTAACCTCAGGTCCGTCACTGTTAAACACTAGCGAATGAAAATGAGATTAAGCTCTGCCCATTCTTTGACGTAAGCGGTCATTTTTTTTAATGCCCGCTCGGCAAAACATTAGAAATGTTCTAAGGCTTTTTTCGTATAGATTTGTATAGGAACACATTTTTAAAGGTATAACAAAAAAATTTGAACTTTGAATTTTACCACATGTGGCCATAAAATGCAATTTCAACTGTTCTCTTTGTCTGCCATTTTTAACTCACACGAAGCCGACGATTTTCTGATCAGAATTTGCTCGTTGTCTGTGATTGTTGTCGCCGCTCCAGAACTCCTGGGCTTACATGTATTTCAACCAAACTTGACACTTCTTATACCTAGAAGAAGGAAATTGAAGGCAATACAAAGAAATTGAAGTGGTCATGCTCTCTTTTAAAGCAAGAGAAAAAAGATATTTGAAGGAATCATTTAAAAATCTTCCATGGAACCATAAAATTTAGCAAAGATGAAACTTCTGTGAGAATTTTCTGGCAAAATGTAGATTCCATTTGTTGAAATATACTCTGGAACACTCATGGAAAGCCATGATAAGCCAATATTTATGAAAGCATCCACAGCTAGTGAATATTGAAGTTTTTTTCAAAATAGGATTTCTGTGGGTAGGATGTGGCTACAATTGGGCAAAGTTTTACATAGCTTAACATAAATCTTTAAAAATCGTCCTGTAAAGAACAGGAAAGACAGAATAAATAATTTGCTCAGGAAATAGGATTGAGTTACATTGGGCGATTAAAGTTTTTCTTAGGGATTTTTAGAGAAAAATTCTGCTAGTGAAAAAGAAGAAGCCCATGCATTGTAACCCAGTTGAGTGTTGTGACCCATGGGCCTCTTGTTTCTTCTGTATATAAAGCACGATTTTATACTTTTTTTAGCAAGTGGTTCGGCCGCAATACATCCACCAACTTTAATTATACTGGGAAGGTATTTCGATAGAAGAAGAGGGTTTGCGAATGGCTTGGCAGTAGCAGCCGGTAGTTTGGGAGGGATGGTCACGCCTATTGTGTTCACCAAGTTAATGGAGGAATATTCCGTCAGGGGCGCTCTACTCATTCAGGCAGCTTTACTGTTTAATATCGTGGCTGCCGCATCTTTGTTTCGTCCAACAGAACTCACTACAAAACTGTACCACTTAGATCAACAGAAAAAGAAACGAAAAGAGCAAACCGAACTACTTACACCAGAAAATATTAATGATAAGGCTATAAATGGGAGCCTTCTAGTGAAAGAAGTCCAAAATGGTGTGGGCCACAGTGGCAAAGAGGAAAATGGATCGTTAGTTCCAAATTTTCATTCAGTGGAACATATTTCTATTAGAGAAATTCACACCCCACGTTTATCATATCTGAGAAAACCAATAGAACACCATCAAAGTACCTCCACCGTGTCACAGTTTAGTAGTATTCACAGTATCATGTCGCCGTCTATAGCAGACCTCCACTTAGCATCAACAACAAAACAATCAGAATACGACTCTGACGAAAAATGCTCATGTGTGAACACTTTTTTGAAAATAATGGATGTCAGGATGTTAAAGAATAAACTCGTGTCTTTGTTTACCATTGTTTTCTGTGCGGGTTCTATAGGAACTTGTCTCGGTGTCATATTTGTAGCGCCATTGGCCCGGGATCAGAATCTCACCAAGGATGAAATAGCAATAGCCACCGCTTTAGTCAGTGGATCCGAATTTTTCTTTCGGATTTTCCTTGGATTATTTGCAGATATGGATGTGATAGAGAGATACCGTATTGTTCAAATCTCTCTGTTTGGAACCGGTGCTGTTTTACTGTCATCTGTTGTGATAAAATCCTTCTGGCAGTTTACGATCTTTAGTACACTGTACGGGTTATTTAGCGGTCCCCTGATCTCCATGTATGCACCGGTCTGCATAGATTTTGTGGGATTAGAGAATTTTCACCGAGTAATTGGAATTTTGATGTCCTTTCAGGGAATATTTCTCGGGGTATTTGGACCCTTAGTAGGTACGATCTGAATTTGGAAGAAAAAATCATTAAAGATCATAAATTTTCTAAATTATTTTCCAAGAAGAGATCAGTTTCACATAATTTCATTATTTTATTTATTTTCAGGTGTAATGAGAGATTTGTTTGGTTCATATGTCCCAGCCTTCCAAATGATGGCATCGCTAACAATTTTTGGAGGGCTGCTGTTATTCTTTGTTCCATGTTTGCGCAAGCAAGAGACCTTATCAGACGTTGTGGTTAACAAAGATCTCATACTCGAAAACGGCGCTAAAGAGTAGAGTTCTGTTTTGTTAATGGTTTCTTTAATAACTTCATTTTGTGTTCTTCAGTTTGTAGAAAAAAAAATCAGTACATCTTTATATTCTTTCCGATAGATGTCTTCTTAAAAAGCCAATTGGAGCATTCAATTCTGCGAAATTACTTTAAAATTCCTCTGACAGTGTAAGAACTAAACTGAACTGAAATTCGTGTTTAAATTCTTTTGTGTTTGACCATGAATTGCAACAACAAAGTTTGATATGAAGCTACATGCATATTAAATTTTAAGCTTATTTTGACCGATTCATTAGAGCTAATCATGAGAGAGTTTCATTCCTGGTGTACATCAACATGTGCAATTGTTTGTAAATATACAATTAAATCATTTGTTTTTGTGCTTTTGTTTTTAAAAGTCAATTTTTAGCTCTACTGGTCAGAGACAAGTAGACTATACCGAGATAGACAATTCTGTATATCGATCGGTTTTGGTGTTGCCGTGGTCACTAAAAATAGAAAATTCTGTGAAATACTTTAAAACTGCTACTCCTCTTATAGTTTTGGTCTGATTTCAATATAACTTGGCATACACGTAGACTACACAAAGATACATAATTCACTTTATCGGTTTTTGATTTCGATGAGCGGTTTTGCCATGGTAACTTAAAATAGGAACTTCTGTAAAATACTCTCAAAATGCTACTCCAAAAACAGTTTTAGTCTGATTGTAATATAATGTGGTATGCAAGGAGACTACACTGAGATACATAATTCTGTGTATCGGTTTTTGATTTCGATGAATGGTGTTGCCGTGGTAACTAAAAATAGAAAATTCTATGAAATACTTTAAAATGCTACTCCTCTTAACAGTTTTGGTCTGATTTCAAAATAACTTGGCGCACAAGTAGACTACACAAAGATACAAAATTCTGTATATCGGTGTTTGATTTCGATGAGCGGTGTTGCCATGGTTACTAAAAATAGAAATTTCTGTAAAATACATGTACTCTCAAAATGCTACTCCAAAAACAGTTTTAGTCTGATTATTATATAATGTGGCATGCAAGGAGACTACACTGAGATACATAATTGTCTTTATTGTTTTTTTTTAATTTTGATAAATGATATTGCCATCGTAACAAAAAATTGAAAATACTGTAAATGTTTATTAAAAGCTACTCCTACAGTTGAAGTCTTATTGCGATATCTTGCCACAATAAAGACTCAGTCAAGGATCATTAGTTATTCTATTTATTGCTGTTTAAAGTTTCAAGTCCCAACTGCCAACTGCTACCTTTCTCTTCCTTTGTTATATAAAGTACAAACCAGTAGAGCTTCAGTCTCGACAGAAACCTCTGGTTCTCTACAGCCATTGAAAATTGTTAATCAATAAAAAATTACTTTATCAAATCTTATTACATATCCTTGTTAAAAGATAGTATGAACTTTTTTCACATGTATTTTTACGGATTCAATGGGCTTGTTCTTAGAATATTATGAATCACAACTTCAGTTATCAGAAGTATAATCAGATAATACGCAATGAAAAAAAAAAGAATTTTATATGTTTTAACATGTTTAATTATAATTCTCTTCCTATTATTTTTTGCAGAACCTTAAACATAATATGAAGTTATAATAATAATGACAGATTTTTTTTTAAGCTCAACTGAAATATAACCCCAAGTGAGATCATCCGTTGTCCGTCGTCCGTCCGTCTGTAAACTGTTTACCTTTCAACTTCTGATTTAAAGAACCACTGTGCCAATTTTAATCAAACTTGGTACAAAACATCCTAAAGTGAATGGGAGTTTAAATTGTTAACATGAAGTAGTCTACAAAAGGAGATAATTAAGAAGAGACAAAACTATGGTAGAGTTATTAAAAAATCTCAAGAACAACTGGGCCAGAACAGCTGAAACATATGTGGAAACATTCTGGGGTAGTGTACATTCTAAATTGTTCAGATGATGGTCCCGTAGGATAGGGCGGGACCACAATAGGGAATCAAAGTTTTACATTGAGATATATGGGGAAAACCTTTAAAACTCTTCTTCTCAAGAACCACTAGGCCAGAAAAGCTGAAACTTATTTTGAGGCATCCTGGGGTATTGTAGATTCTAAATTGTTAAATTCAGACCCCTTGGGAAGACTTTAAAAAATTTCTCAAGAACCACTGAGCCACAAAAGCTGAAACTCTTATGGAAGCAACCTTGGCTAGTGTAGATTCTAAATTGTTCAAATCAAGACACCCAGGGGGAGGACTAGGTAACAATAGGGAATCCAAGTACATGTATTACATTGAAATATATAGGATAGGAGTAGGGTTGGGACAGAATGCATGCGAGAATCAAAAGGGGAAAGTCCACTGAAGAACAGCACGGCCAAAGTTATTCAGGTGAGCGATGTGACCCATAGACCTCTTGTCATAGACCTTGTATTTCACAAATTTATTTTTATAGGAAAATTGATATAAATATGTTTTCCCAATAAAAAAAAACTTCTCCATGTACCAAAATGTACCAGCATATGTTATCCCCACCAAATAGCAAATTGTGGGACTTGACCTTTCTTCACTTTTAGAAACCCACTCTGATAAGTTAACAACATCACTGCACTTTTTAATCCTATGATTCGGTCAGTGATTCATTGTTATTTGCTCCCAGTGATATATTTTATATTTTATTATAATTAATTCTTATTTGGCTTTAATGGGATGGGGTAAAAAGCTTAGTGGAGTGGAGGTATGTGAAATCATGTGAAAACCCCTTAAGCTTGAATAATAGGCCAAGATACACGTGTGAAATAATGATATGAACATAATAATAAATAAGCTAATAATGAAAAATAAATAACAATCAAGAATTATTCATTAGTATTATATAAAAAAAAGTATATAACTTTTTCAGATACATATACTGTTCCATCTGATATATAAATATTTTTAAAAAACCCTACATTTATAGAGTATTTAATATGATGTGCAGTGTACCTAATAGTCACTTAGTAGATTTAATTACTTCATGTACAGATGAAAATATTTTAAAGTATAATTGACAGGAATATTGACATTTTCCTCCTAACAGTGTCAAGTTCCAAAACACCATCAATATCATTTCTTTTTTGTCAATCAATTTCTTTCAACAATATTTGATAAGGTAATGTTCAGTATCTTCAGTATAAAAACCACATTTTTGACACGATTGAACATCTGATACAATTTTTTTTTGGTGAAAAATTAGCGTTGAAATTGAAAATTGAAATTATTTGTTTCGCAACTGACAATGTAAGATATGTTAGACAAAGTAAATATAAGGTCTTTAGCTCACCTGAGCCGAAGGCTCAAGTGAGCTTTTCTGATCACATTTTGTCCGTCGTCCGTCCGTCTGCCTGTCCGTCAGCCTCTAAACATTTCACATTTTCAACTCCTTCTCAAGAACCACTGGGTCAATTTTTTAAAACCAAACTTGGTACAAAGCATCCTTGAGTAAAGGGAAATTTCAGTTGTTAAAATGAAAGGCCAGGTCCTCTCACAAGGGGAGATAATCAAAAAAAGACAAAATAGGGTGGGGTCATTAAAAATCTTCTTTTCAAGAACCACTGGGCCAGAAAAGCTGAAACTTATTTGGAAGCATCCTGGGTAGTGTAGATTCTAAATTGTTCAAGTCATGACCCCCGGGGGTTGGGTGGGGCCAGAATGGGGAATCAAAATTTTACATAGAAATATATAGGAAAATTCTTTCAGAAATCTTCTCAAGAACCACCGCGCCAGAAAGAGATGAAACTTATGTGGAAGCATCCCGGGGTAATGTAGATTCTAAATTGTTCAAATCATGACCCCCGGGGTTGGACGGGACCACAATAGGGAATCAAAGTCTTACACAGAAATAAACAGAAAAAAAAATTAAAAATTTTCTTCTCAAGAACTACTTGGCCAGAAAAGCTGAAAGTTAGGTGGAAGCATCCTGGGGTAGAGTAGATTCTAAATTGTTCAAATCATGACCCCCGGGGGTGGGTGGGGCCACAAAGGGGAATCAAAGTTTTACATAGAAATATATAGGGAAAAACTTAAAAAATCTTCTTCTCAAGAACTACTCGGCCAGAAAAGCTGAAACTTATGTGGAAGCATCCTGGGGTAGTGTAGATTCGCTAAATTGTTCAAATCATGACCCGTGGGGTACGATGGGGTCACAATAAGAATAACAATGGGGAAATCTGGTTAAGAATAGCATGGTCAAAGCTTCTCAGGTGAGCGATGTGGCCCATGGGCCTCTTGTTTAATTGCTCCGCATTTTATTTTTACTTTCAAGATAGAAACTGACAGAGAGTTTCTGACATACCCAGTAAGTCTGTTCCAAAGTTTTATGGTTGGGGGAATAAAGTTTTTTTTATATAAAGACATTGATATTCAGTGTTTTACAAACCGGTACACAAAAGTTAGTACATCCAGACCCCAGGTTGTATGCATGTTGAACTGAAAAAAAGATTGAAATACTCAGTGCGGAACAATTAATTATTTCATATACAATTGAAGTTTTTCTCTTCTAAGATATAATGATAATTAATTTTTTCAATGATTTGCTCTTTTTCATTTATCGTTACTATATACGTACACTTCTCTGCGCAAAATTGGTGCCCATTGGAATTTCAACAGTTTGTTGGAAAATTTGGTCTCTGAAGACGACATAAATGTTGTTAATGAGAAATTCAGCATCCTTTTATTATCAACTTATCTACTTGTGTTTTAGATAGTTCTAGAAGTTTATGGATAAATTCTACTTCATATTATTTCAAAAATAGGTCTGCTTTTAAAGAGGCGGAATTATTTCAAAGCTTCTCAGGTTGAAAGACCTCATCGATAACAAGTGGCCCATGGAGCATTGTGGCTAGGAAAAAGTTTAAAAGTTTGCTCCGCATTTTATTTTTACTTTTCCATATAAATATGAAATTATGGCTTTGCTATTCTTGAGAAGAGATTTTTAAAGAATTTTCATATATTTCTATATAAAACTTTGGTCATTGTGGCCCCGCCCTACCCCGTCATGTTTGAACAAATTTGTTTTATAAATATGGCAATTCTGGCTTTGCTGTTCTTGAGAAGAAGATTTTTAAAGAATTTTTTTATTTCTATGTAAAATTTGCAAGACATTGATATTACACTACCTGTGTTTATACAATGAGAAATTATGACTTTGCTGTACACAAAAGTTTTTAAAGAATTTTCATATATTTCTATATAAAACTTTGATTGTGGCCCCAGGTTGTATCTTTACTACCTGCATATAAATGAAATTCTGAAAAAAGATTTTTAAAGAATTTTCCTATATATTTCTATGTAAAACTTTGGTCGGCCATTGTGGCCCCGCCCTACCCTGTGGGTCATGACAAATTAATTATTTCATATACAATTGAAGTTTTTTGCTCTTCTTGAAGATATTTTTAATGATTTTTATATTTTTTCAAACTGATTTGCTCTTTTGATTTTAACATTTTTCGGAGGATTTCCATATATACGTACAATTCTGGCTTTGCTGTTCAAAATTTTTAAAGAATTTTCCTATATATTTCTATATAAACTTTGTGCCCATTGGAATTTCAACAGTTTGTTACACTAAAATATATGGCAATTCTGGCTCTGCTGTTCTTGAGAAGAAGATTTTTAAATTTTGTATATATTTCTATAAATTCAGCATCCTTTTATTATCAAACTTATCTACTTGTGTTTTAGTTTCAACTTTCCTGGCACAGTGGTTCTAGAAGTTTTTAAAACATACCATTTTCAAATTCTACTTCATATTATTTCAAAAATAGGTCTGCTTTTAAAGAGGCGGAATTATTTCCCAATAGAATTCCGACAGATTGTTGAAAGACCTCATCGATAAAAACTACATATTTGATAATTTCAATTAGAAAAGCATCATTTTAAGATCAAATTAGGTGTACTTGGAAAACAATAAAATATTAACACCCTTCAACCATGGCTTCAGGTCTGGATATTCATGTGAAACCCAGCTCACTATAACCATAAGATCTCTGAAATATTTAAGCATCAATATCTGATTTATTCCACTCTTCAGATAAATTGTTGTACAGTACTCATTAAGTTTCTCCTTCATTGTTGTTAATATTTAGTGAAGAATAAAGAAATTAGGAAGCTTTGTACAACATTTACTGGAATCTGTTCCGAGTCTCTGTAAAGAATTTATGAAGTTACAGTATTAGTGGTACAAAAGGTCAGTATCGTATAAAAAAAAGATGTTTAACAAGTTCCTTATTTTTTTTCCCTTTTGATAACAGTACCTAGATAATTAAAAAAGAATTCTAACAGCACAATACAGAATTCAGGATTACACAAAATAACCCGATGATATTTGACTTTATTAAAAACAAATTTGTTGTTCGAAAGGATTTTTTCTGGAAAGTAATAATTAGTAATTCCAAATTTAGCCTCAATCTAAGCAAAGTTTAATGAAGACTGCTTAAATCGCATTCAATTTGTGAAAATTGTGCATATTTTACATTTAAAAGTTGACCTTTCGAATTTAAATTTACATCAAACTATTTTTATCAAACTATTATTCACATGTAGCATTTTATAAGAAAGTTTATTCATTCTATTTAGTAGATAACCCAATTTTTACTTAAAAAAAAAACGGAAACTGTAATTTAAGAAATAAACTTAGCAATTACCTCTTCATGCTAAGTTTTGGGATAATAGTTGATTTTTTCGAACAAGCTGTATCCAAAATGAGTTCATGCACACCGAATCCATACAGCTGAATGAAAACGTTAATGATATCTAATTTTATAACCTCAAAGATTACACATACACACAATGAAAAACTATGATATTAAAAAATATCTTTGTCATTCAAGATTATTCGTGACCATGCATATAATATTGCAGATTAGAAAAATGCACAGTTTGTTTCCTCTAAACAAATCTTGTATTTGTTCACTGTGCTTCAAGTTTGTGTAATGTACTTTTTTGGAGATTATTGTAACTAAGTTTCCATTCTGTATAAGAATGTACATATACATATGTATAGTATACTGGTTATCTTTTCAAGAAGGAGCTGAAAATGAAACACTATAAGCAATGTAACATGTTACTTATTATATAGTAAAATCTCAAGGAAATGGGCCCTCAGGATTTTGTAATGTTATGTAAAATGATATTTTTAAAACTGTAGAAATATGCACAGTTTCAGTTTCTTCACTTCTTGTTAAATTGTGCTTCTATTTTCACTTTGCTAAGTTTGTGTAAATATATTCTTTTTTGAAGATTATTGTAGATAAGTCTGCTTTCAAAAGTAAAGTTGAACATGTAAAATTCCTGGGAAGGGGTGTCAAACTTTTCAATAAAGGAGCTGAAAATGAAACACTATAAGCAATGTAGGGCATTGATTCATCATGTTCATTATATAGTTCAAATTCAAGATAACCCCCAGATTATGTATACTGTAATGTTATGTAAAATGATTTTTTTTTTAAACTATGAAGGACTACGCTGTTCATCTGATATATTCTTTCCATTTTCTGATCGTCTATTTTATTAAATTTCAAATAAAATTCTATAAAATCTCTATCGTCTACTTCTAAAGATTTAGTAAAAGTTGGAGTAGGGTTAGTGGGAATGCCTATAGGAAATTTCGTTCTTGAAAATAGCATCTATTTGTTTTTTTTTTAAAAATATATTTCATTTGTAGTAAACTTTCTTGATTATAAAATTATTTGATTTAGTTCTAATCAACCTTAATAATATTTCCATTTCTTACAAAAAACCCTACGGCTTGATATTTATACATAGATGTTCATTACATATATTTACCTGCATTCATGAATATTAATGTGAAAACTCTTCCAGCATCGATGACGACATGCTACCTTGAGATGGGAACCTTCCGATGTTTTGGTATCTTCATGAATGCGTACCTAGACGAATTTCAAACCTCTGTAACAGTTGTTTCATTAATCTCGGGGGTGTTTCCAATCACATTTTGTCTAGCAGGTAAAAAAAAATATCTCTTCTCAGAGAGAATTGTCTAATTGTCGCATATTTCCTACTCCCAGATATTTCCACTCTCTTAAATTATTTAAAGTTAATTGTACGAACCAGATGACAATCTTCAACTGAAATGTTTGATTCTCATCTTATTTGTATAGATTGATTTCAGTAATTTTATTATAAAATAGATAAAATTTCAAATAAGCGAACGTCACTACGGAAGGCGTGAAGAGATGAAGGCAGTGTTTAAATATATGTAAATGCATGTGTAGCATTTTAATTGTAATGTCATTAACTGGATATTTTGTTCTTTTTCAACTTTCTGATTCTGTATAGTTCTGCCGGTGACGGTATTTGGTACTGAACGCTTTGGCTGTCGTGCATTGGTTATCCACGGGGGATGTGCTCTCTTTGTGGGATACATCCTAAGCAGTGTAGCCCCGAGCATTGAGGTAGTTATGCTGGCGCAAGGTGTCATTGCAGGTAATACAAGCAGTTAAAATGTTTTTGAATGAAAAAATGTCTCCAACCAGCAGAAATTGGGCATTGAATTTATTTACATGTCGATACTTATCTGGAAATATATATTTATTGCAAGTCGTGAAAGACTTCTTTTCAAAAAGTGTTTTTTATTTGCATCTGTTTTCACAATTTATAAACAAAACATTGTTTTCTCTTAAGCAAGCGGAGCAGCCTGCACAAACCCACCAAGTTTAATTATACTTGGAAGATATTTTGATAAAAGAAGAGGGTTTGCAAATGGCTTAGCTTTAGCAGCGGGTAGCTTAGGAGGGATGCTTACACCAATTGTGTTCACCAAGTTAATGGAGGAATATTCTGTCAGAGGCGCTCTACTCATTCAGGCAGCTTTACTGTTTAATATCGTGGCTGCTGCATCTTTGTTTCGTCCAACAGAACTCACTGCAAAACTGTACCAATTTGAGAAACAGAAAAAAGAACGGGAACAGAGACTTGAATCAGTAAAACAAGACCAGTTCGATGAAGGAGGCATTAACGAAAATCTTGTTTTGAAAAAAGTAAAAAATAACATAGGCCACATGGAAGAAAATGGACTTCTAGTTCCGAAAGAAATACACTCAGCTGAACATAAAAGAGGAATTTCCACTTCGTGTTCATCTTTTTTGAAAACACCGCAGGAACACCGTCAAAGTACCTCCATTGTGTCTCAATTTAATAGTATTCATAGTATTATGTCACCATCTTTAGCCGACCTCCATTTGGCATCAGAAAGGAAACACTCAGGCTATAAATCAGCCATAAAGTGCTCCTGTGTAAACTCTTTTTTGAAAATAATGGATGTTAGGCTGTTAAAGAATAAGCTTGTAGCCCTTTTTACAATCGTCTTCTGCACGGGTTCAGTTGGAACATGTCTCGGTGTCATATTTGTAGCCCCATTAGCCCGGGACCAGAATCTCACAAAGGATGAAATAGCAATAACCACCGCTTTAGTCAGTGGATCCGAGTTTGTTTTTCGAATATTACTCGGAATATTTGCGGACATGAATGTTATAGAGAGATACCGTATTGTTCAAATCTCTCTGTTTGGAACCGGTGCTGTTTTACTGTCATCTGTTGTGATTACGTCATTTTGGCAGTTTACGATCTTTAGTATGATTTACGGCCTATTTAGCGGGCCCCTACTTTCTATGTATGCACCGGTCTGTATAGATTTTGTTGGGTTAGAGAAGTTCCACCGAGTAGTTGGAATTCTACTGTTCTTTCAAGGAATGATCGTCGGTGGATTTGGACCTACTATAGGTAAACGTATTAAGGATATTGAGAGATAATATTAAAAAAAAATCATTTCTATATATGCTGTTGTACACTTCTTTTAAAACGAGTTTGGATTAACTAAACATCTAGAATAAATGTTTAGTATATTTTGAATAATTTTCTTTAAATGATTTAAGAATTTTCATCAGTTGATTTCTTTTCAAGCCCCCCTGGTAATGCATGCTAATTTTGTTTACGAACATTTTATGACGTTTTAAACTAAAATTAATGTTGAAAAATGTAGGTAAGGTACATTGCGTATGTCTTTAATAATTATAATACATGTTAAGAATTCACAAAAACTTTCATGATTTGTTTTTTGTGCAGGTATAATGAGAGATTCCTTTGGTTCCTACATCCCTGCTTTCCAAATGATGTCATCTATTACAATTTTTGCTGGCTGTCTCTTATTCTTTGTTCCATTTTTACGAAAATTAGAATCTTCTCCAGATGTTGAGCTTGAAAGCGAAGAACGAAAACTAGAATTAAAAGTCAAAGAAACTTGCTGAGGGTATCTTGCTTATTTGTCCACGAATAAATAAATCTAATTATGGAAAAACCTTCTTCGTCTTTTACACACAACTATTTGTTATTATTTGTGTAAATTAATTTTTTTTTTTCGATCTTAATTAGTTGAAGGAAAGTTTGTCTCCAAAGTTTCATTAAAAAGAAATTACCGGTAAGTTTTAAATGTATAAACCTGATAAACTATTAACTAAAAATCTTTCTCAATTACTAGTATGTATGATTATGAAAAAAGTAACGAAAAGGATATACATGTAGTTATATAATTATTTAATTTTCACAGTGCCAACTGATACCCAAGACAGAATACAATCAATACATCGGCACTTGCATCCACTTTAAACACCAAATAAAAAAAAACAACTTTGATATTATTTAGCAAAGTTAGATTATTTCTATGAAATGACCAACGCGGTGGATAAAAATACAATTTTTTCCCCTAAATCCACGGAATATGACCTTATGAAAACAAGTGTTTTATGGTAAAAACTTGTATAAATTACTTGGTATATATTCCTATGAGGTGCTTTTTCTTAAGAAAATAAAGTCTCACATCATATTCATAATTATCACCATCAAGCAAGTTAGATTTTTCAATTGATTTTATTTTGTGAATGTGTGTTACACAAAATGTTTTTATGTCCAAATACTAGGCCAAAATTGACTTGATCAATCCAAGTTTTACACAAAATGGAATGTTATCTTTACCAGGTATTGAAATTGATATATGTACAAATTTGTATGGTATGGATTAAAAGACCTTGGAAATGGTCCCAAAGAAGCAACGTATGGTTTCTCATTTATTATTTTCTTTATATAATAGTAAAAGATCTACTAAATATTTTCCCCTTTATCTTCAATCCTGGATACATGGGTTTATTTCATTTCTATGAATTTAAGGCAATAATCACAGTTATATGGACGTAGAAAACATGAATGGTTGCACAGTTGTATAACATGTAACATTTGTGTGTAGAAATATTCAAATTTCATTTGAAGATACTATGATCAATATGAAATTAGAACAAATAAAATAATTAATCTTAAAATTCGCTTCCTAATAATAAATCGCAATTGCACAATGAAGTTAATGATAAAAATTTACTTCACTTCAATTTATTTATATACAAAAAGGTCGAAGAACAACAATTATGACACATAGAACAGAGGCATATAGAAAAAAAAACCTTTGGAATCACACGTTAGTGGTGTGAACGCGCATGTGCCGATTAAGGTTTCCAGATTGGGAAAACCTCAACAGACACAATTTACATTGATAAGGTTTTTCCCCAGAATGAATTCTCAAGTGTTTTGTTAACGTTGAACTGTCCGAGAAAGCCTTTTTGCATAACCTGCATCTGTATGGACGTTCACCACTGTGAGTGCGCATGTGTGTTGTGACGGAAGAACTCTGTGAGAATCTTCGATCACACATTGGGCAGTGAAAGGGTTTTTCCCCACTGTGAGTCCGCGAGTGAGCGGTAAGATTAGCCGCTTGAGAAAACGATTTACTACAAGTTGAACATTTATAGGGCTTTTCCCCAGAATGTGTCCTAAGATGGGTCTTTAAGGTGCTTGGTCGTGCGTAAGTCTTGCCACATATCCGACACAAGTTAACTTTGGAGGATTCACATTGTATGTTACCATGGCGATTTCCAAGAAATTTAGCCCGTTTCCATTGCGAAACAGCACAAAGGCGCGCGGCCTCCTTGTAATTGTCTGTTGGTCTGTAAATAAAATTTCTTGTTTCCGGCGAGGAGAAAGGTCTCATTTCGTGCGAGATAGAGTAATGGTTGGGATACTGATGAGCAGACGGTGTGTTGTACTGCGGCGATACTGGCGGGAGACTGTACTGATTATATTGGTACGGTGGCGGTGGTGTGGTAGGTCGGGTCGGTGGTGGATTACTTGACCATTGCTGGACCGAGTATTGGTTGTTGCCCATATTATGAGGGACGCCCACGTTCATGCTCATACTCACGTTCACACTCATGGAAGGAAACATATTGTTTTGTTGTGAATCATTTCCAGGATATTGCTGTACGGTAAATTGACCTGAATTTTGAGGAGGGTAAACTCCGGTATGATGAAAAGGACCATTATGATACGTCACAGTTGACTGACTTGGACAGTTTCCATTTCCGTGTCCCAGATGCATTGTGGGAGATATTGGCGATAACTGACCGCTGTATCCCGGTCTGACCACTGCATTTTTTAGCGACAAGAGAGCATCTGCTATATCTTGAGATTTTTCTTTGAAAACAGAAAATTCCCTAAAATAAAAGAAATAATTTATTGAACAATGAATCCCATGTTTTTACAAGAAACTGAAATTGAGAGTATTGTAAACCAACTTTATTTATTCCCGAGCGAGAAATATCCGCGAATTTTGCGGCCCCTTTTTATTCACGAATATTTTTCGCCGTGAACAAATTATTCAACAATATATTTATAAAGAATTTTGCCTTAGTCTTGAAAATAATTACTAGTATTACAGGATTGATTCCAAACTGAAGATTCGCGAATTAAAGATGTCTCAATATGAGTTTGTTTTCTTTAGAACAAAAAAAACCTTTTCTTTAATGATAATTGTATTTTTTCCCTAACTAGTCGTGATAATCTTTTCAAATAAATTTTAAATCAACACTAAGCAATTTTATTTAATATTCAGTTTAAACGGAGCAGTTAAAATTATTGCCATTAATTTGTTATACGGATATTAAGAATTTATAGTTTTTTGATTTGTGTATTTTTCTTTACTTCAATCCATGTATTGTTTTATATCTTAATTCAGTTACATAGAAGATTTCACGAATACGAAGCACGAGTGAAATGTTTTCAAAAAGCTGTCACATTCGTGAAATAAACTCCATATACATGTGCGATTGAAAATATAGGAATGGATTTTAGTGACATATTTCGGAGGAAATTGACGAATTATATGTCTATCTGGATGGCTGTATTATTACATCTATCTTATGACAGGTTAGAAACTTTTCCTAACTTGGTTTGATTTCCTTTCACACTGTGAAGGAATATCACTTTAATTCAAAAGTATGGCACGCCAAATTCACAAAAATGAGCAAAACATAGTTACACAGTCGATAAACTAGGTTTATCGGTAATCATAAAAACAATAATCAGTTTACGGATTGTAAACTATAGTTAACAACGTTAATCTATATTTTACATCTGTAAACTATAGTAAACGCGATAATCTGTGTTTCACAACCGTAAACTATACTTAACACTGAAAACAATCATTTGCGATTGCAAAACATAGATTATCTGATAAATACAGTTTCACGATTTGTAAACTATAGTTTACAAACCGTTAACTATAGTTAACGATCTGATAAATATAGTTTCACGATTTGTGAAACTATGATTCTCTTAACTATAGTTTACGATTGTAAACTATAGTTTACAAACGTGAACAATCTATGTTTAACAACAAAATCTATTGTTGTGAACACTTACTACAGACAGATAAACTTAGATTATCACACATTCGTAAACTATAGTTAACAACCGTTAAATATAGTTGTTACAGATGAAAACTATACTTAACAAATCGTTAACTATAGTTTACGGTTTGTAAACTATAGTTTACAGTCGATAAACTTAGTTTATCAAATGTTAAACTAGGTTTATCTCATTTTTGTGAATTTGGCGTGCCATACAAAAGATAAACCACAGCATTTCACTGTTGTAATAGATACTTAAAGATTAATAATTTCATTTAAAGGTTTATATTCAAAGTAAAATTTGTATTTTATCTCAAATTGTGTCATATAAAACAATGACTAATTTCGTCATTTTTTTGGATGACACAATTATTCAAGCCATGATTTTACAAAGAAACTTTATGAAAAGCAAGGTTTTTTGTTTTCGTTTTTGTTTGTTTGCTTGTTTCTTTTTTTTATATACATTTTTTTGAGTTATGGATGAGCCAGTTTAATGATGGTAACATAAAAATGGTTTTAAAAAATATGCAGACGTAGCTCCCTTGCATCTTTTTTTCTGCCTATTTAGCACGATGGTACACATTCTTTCCAAGTAAAATATGCACAAGTTGATAATTACATTCTTTAAAATTAAGAAGCCCGAAAAAATCCCTTAATTATTAATAATTAATCATTAATTTTGCACTTTTTCATATGTTTTACGGTTCATTAAGTTTCATTGATAATTAATTCTGGAAGTTTGAGGATAAAAATAAAGTATGATGTAATTTTTTACAGTATATTTGACTATAGAAGATATTATATTCAATTTTGCTTGTTCTTTAAAATTCTACAAAATTTCGTAAATGGGGATAAATGGTATGGAATAATAAGGATGATTGTAGAAAGGTAGAAAAAAGATACTTGTTTAGGTTACAACCAAAATAATTCCATTGCTACATGTGCATGTATTTTTTATATCATTTATCCTTAAGAAAAAATCGAACAATACATCAGTACATGAGCAGAGAATCTAATTTCTACGATACATACCCCTACCAGACAAAATCGCATTTAATGTACTCTACGAGCAAAATTAATGTACTTTTTCTTCATACTCATTTTGTATATAACGACAAATTGTTAACCATATACTAAACTTAAATAATCAAGTGCTTGCACTCTTGAATCTGTCAATTCTATGCGTTGATCCTTGGACACAAGTGTCCATTTCGGTTTGTTCTGAGTGACATCTTAGTGTTGACATATTTCCTTAGGGTTGGGTTTGTGTGTGATCGGGTGGAAATTTAAGCCAGTATTGCACAGGTTTATAGTTTACCTGTTACCTGATCGTTAGGATTAAAGATCAGCTTCTGGATGAACAAACAACTCTTTCATCAGATACTAATGAGGGAGTGTGGTGTCACTGATTTTGTCTTTAGTGAACAACTTTTTGGGGCACTTGTTCTAATGTAGACGGCAAACATAGCATGGGTTGTCTTGTTATTATATTTAAATGGATCAAATATATATAAAATCAAAATATTGATAGGTAATTTTGTTGACTGAACATTTTACATG